TCATAGTTCCGCTCGGCCGGGGAAAGGCGGCGAGAGAAAAAAGCACACAGGCGGAGCTTAGAGTCAGTGGTTGAGCGTTGTGATAATACTGCTCCTACTCCGGTGTCGGTGGTGTCCACCTCGACCACGAACTGGCGGCCTTCATCCAGCTGTACTAGGATGGGGGCTGATGTGAATCGTTCCTTGAGGGCGTTAAACGCCCAGTTGGCCTCGGGGGACCAGGAAAAATCCACTTTAGAGGAGGTGAGTCTGGTTAGGGGTGACGCGAATCTGACCCTCCTCAATGATGAAATCAAGAAACTGTACGGAGGCGACATGGAATTCACATTTCTCAGCTTTGATGAAGAGTTGGTTCACCAGTAAGAGCTGAAGGACCCGACGGACATGGTGGCAATGTTCCTGTAGGTTCGAGGAGTAAATCAGAATGTCGTCGATGTAGACAAACAAACCAGTTGAGAAAATCCCTGAGCACGTCGTTCACCAAAGCCTGGAAAACGGCTGGTGCATTTGTAAGTCCGAATGGCATGACCAGGTACTCGAAATGTCCCAGCGGAGTGTTGAAAGCAGTCTTCCACTCGGACTGACCACTGGGATGAGAGTGATCGGAGTATTTATGTCAGCTGGAGATGATCACCGGAGATGAGCATCAGCTGTGCCTACGGAGAGAGGCAGGGCAGTGGGTGGGACTCGGAGGAGGACACTACTGAGGGAAATACACCAGAGTTCGACATAAATCCTCACAGCAGAGGGGTAGTATGTGCAGTAAAAGTCTTTTAATTTGTGTGAATAAAATGCCAACTTAAAAATTCGAGCCCATCTATCTTTATGAGCCTCACACTGAATCTGAAACGTTTTTATTTCACGGTGCAGAAATACGAACCCCCCCACACACGATGAGAAGAGAGTGTCCGGTTTTGGGCTCCTCAGAATTGCGAAAGGATAACCAGGTTGGGAGTAAGTAAGAAAGTGAGGGAGTGCAAGTATCTCGGGGTCTTGTTGACCAGTGGAGGTAGAATGGAGCGGGAGCTGGACCGACGGTTCGGTGCAGCGTTGTACCGGACCGGTGAGGTGAAGAGGGAGCTGAGTCAGAAGGCAAAGCTCTCTCATGTGCTCTGTTTATCTGCATTTTGGTCGTCTTTGAACTGTGAAACCTTATCAGGTGCTGCATCTGTCAGAAAGCAGTGCACATGGACGACCATAAGCGTAAGATGGCAATGTGTCAGTGTGCTGTGGTGGGACATTTTGAGTTTTAAAAATAATTTGTAAAAAGTAATGAGACACAAATATAAAAAAATTAAGAAACTTCTTTATCATTGCTGTTGAAATAATGTTTATTATATTTAAGAAGGAACAATGCACATAAATGAACATGAGCCATCACGTAAATGTGCCAAACATGCAGATTTGGCTCAAATTCACTTCTCCCTTCAGCCAGTGGAGGAATTTAAACCTTTCAGCATCCAAATATTTGTCAACTTCTCTGACCTCCAACTCTACTTGATGTTGATATCTCTCCTCATGTCAGTAGAGGTATCAACTGTACTTCATACTTTGTACTTTATGTGTATAACTTCATTAGCAAGGGCAGAGGATGCACTACTTCAGCAGTTATGCACAAGTTCTGGAACACTCTGTTTCTTATAAACAGTGAAGCTTTATCTCATCTCCGTTCCTGACTTTTACCTTTACGTGCATTTACCTGCTCAGTTTAATTCATTCATTGACACATCAGAGGGTCTGACTCCCAAAACAGATTTATTGTCCACATTATTCCCAGAACGAGTTATTTATTTCACTGAGTCAGCGTCTGCAGAAATGAGCAAAACTCTTCAGTTTCTCTCTCAGAACAGAAGTCATCACAACGTTTGACTTTTTGTGAAATGCACTTATTTGCTTTCTTTCCAAGAGTTGGATGAGATGATTAAAACAATTCTCGTCTGTACGCTTAGCTTAGCTTAGCATAAAGACTGGAAATAGGGGGAAACAGCTAGCCCAGGAGAAACATCTCAAATCCTCTGTTTCACTAACACGTGGAACCAGGACCAGTTTAGTACCAGTTGGTGCACGCGATCATGAAACACATGTTGTCCACCTTCCTGTTTCCCAGCTGGCACTGGGGCAGCTCTCCAGCTGTGTCTGTGGGGGGGGGGGGGGCAAGAACAAAAATCTATATATATATATATAATCTATATTATCTTTTTGACATTTTGTTTCTTTGAGACGTCTCTTTCTCGGATCAATAAAGAGTTGAAGATGACTTCTATGAAACTTCATCCTCATCAAGTCCCTTTGGAGACAAAGTGAGTGATGGTTTGTTGCACTTAAAGTAAGAATCTGGAATATTTTCTTTAAAATAAACGTCTGTTCAGTCTGTTGATGGTGATCGAGCTCATGCTCCACTGAGGGAAGCTCTTACTTTTGCTGTATTAAGAACTGGATGTCTGTGGAGCTTATTACCTGTTATTATGTTTAAACTTAATCTGAAAAGTAACTACAGCTGTGCAGTAAAAAGTACAATATTACAACAAAAGCATAAAGTAGTAAAATTAAAATAAACAAGTAAAGCAGCTCACAGTTGTACAGTACTTTAGTAAATGTACTTAGTTACTCTCCATCCCTGATGATGAGTGTTGTGTGAGTTACCTCCAGCAGAAGCAGCTTCTTGATGTTCTTCAGGCTCCTCTTCTTCCTCCTCAGACGTCCTCTCATGGCTCTGATCTCCTCCCATCACCACCGTCACCGACACAGCAGGTCACCTAAACAACACACAGCTAGAGGTCCATATCGACTGCTTTCAATGGTTTCAATAGGCGGTAGTTACTTAATAGTCTAACCTACACATGGACGGGTTACTGAACGGTTCTACTGAGCTTCTGTTTGAAGTTACTGCAAACGGCTGAATAACCTGCGCCGGTTAAAGTTTAAATTCACCGACTGATGCAAATAAATCTCAATTATCTATCGGTTTTAGGTCCTGGGTCCGGATGCAACTGCGTCTGGGTCCGGATCTGGACCCTGGTCCGCAAATTGGGGACTAAACTGAGACTGGTTCATATAGAGGATCAGGTCTACACTGAGACTGGTTCAGATAGAGGATCAGGACTACACTGAGACTGGTTCATATAGAGGATCAGGACTACACTGAGACTGGTTCATATAGAGCAGCGGTTCCCAAACTTTTTAGGCCACACACCCGCTTCTACATCCCGACCGGGTTCACGCACCCCCAATCCACCACACCTTAACAAACAAAAGCAACAGAGCCTATTTATAGCCGCTTAAAAATCGGACCAATGAGAGAACAGTTTGCTCGCGCGTGGCGTTTGTTTACAAGATAAAAAAGACAAATAAACTTCCTGCACCGTGCCTTCGAAAAGGTAACGGACGTACACCAGAAGATTGGCCAGATCTGTAGACTCGTCTACTTGCAGAGAGTAGAACTCACTCTTCTTCACGCGACCGATTAATGTAGCCCGGATGTCTTCGGACAAAGCATCGATGCTGCGACACCGTGTTGATGGACACCGGGATCATGTCCAACTTGTTTGCTTCTCTCTCCATCATACATTCCACCATCTCTTTGGCAGCTGGCGAGCACACGTCTTCGGCGATTGTGTGCGGTAGCCCCTTTCTTGCTATTCTGTGACCAGAAGCCCGCATTGCGTGTTTTGTAGACCCAACATGAATGAGACTGCAGGTGTTTTGGGCTGTTTTGTAACTCCTCCAATTTCGATATAAAATGTAAGGGGCTTTAGACTTGCACTGGCATGCTTGGTGTTCAGGTGGTGACGTGAATAAGAGCTTCAGACATCTGTTAGCCAGAACCTCACTGCACACCACGCACCGTGTCTTTGGGCAATCTGCATTGCCAATCCAAGTGAAGCCCAGACCAGATCATGTTCCCTCTTTTTTCACCTAGACTCCGCGATGGGCCGATGTGCTCCCCATTTGTCTGTGCTATCCCTTCCTCCTTTCCGGTCTCCTCCGTCTCATCTTTCTCTGACTCCCGTTCGATCTCCCGGTCTCTCCCCAACGCACCTCTCCGTTTCTCTCGCCTCCGATTCCTCTCTCTCTCTCTCTGTCTCTCTCTCTCTCTCTCTCTCTCTCTCTCTCTCTCTGTCCCTCTCCTCTTTTATGACTGATAGCTTCAGATGTCCCACCTGACAGTTTCCCAGATTTCAGCCAGTTTATCATATTTACACTGAGACTGGTTCATATAGAGGATCAGGACTACACTGAGACTGGTTCATATAGAGGATCAGGACTACACTGAGACTGGTTCATATAGAGGATCAGGACTACACTGAGACTGGTTCATAGAGGTGGTGTGATGTCTTTATGGTTCCTGGTAATATGACAAGTTTAAGTTACAAATGAATCATCATCTGATCCTTTAAGTCTACGGTCCAGGATACGTGAAGCTCGAGGCTGCCGGGACGTTTCTGTCATTCTAAACAGGAACATGTTCTCACTGAGCTGAGCGGCTTCGCGGCGCGCTGACAGAAGAGAACGTAACCAGCGCGTGTCGAACAATGTCCGGCAGTAAAAACGACAGATGAACGGCTTCACAATGTGTCACGACTTTGAGGTTCTCTGGCTCCGAACCGCAGAGCGATGACTTGTGATAAGTTTCACAGAGACGTTGATCGTGGCTTTAACCTAAATATGACGCCAGAGGGGGGGTCAAATACAGGAGATAAGACACATTAAGAAACACTTGATCTGAGCCACACACACACACACACAC